ATGTTTAGAAGAGCAGTTATAGAATCAAAGAGTATGGCAGCTTTTGAGACATGTTCAAGTTGACATTGGAGTTTGTACAATGCTATGCATATGGCCATGATCTCAGCATCAAAAGCAGTCCTGTTCCTTCCAGCAGGATTATAAAAAGCTCGTAAAAGATACCAATGCCTGATAAAGCGAACATATTTGCGTCCCACCTCCAAACACAATTCACATCAAATGATCATCCCATAAATCATGAATTTAAACTGGATATTTTAACTAAAGTAAGAGACAGGCTGAATGCACCTACTTTGAAAAATATCAGTAACTTCACCACCCCTGCTGAAATTTTTGAAACTGTAAGAAAACTTCATCCTAAAAAAGCTCTGGGAATTGATTGTATATCAATACTTTCAAGCACCTCTTAAGAAATATCGTTGCTAAGATTACCTGCATCTTCAACCGGACAACTTTCGACCTATCAGCCTTCTTCCGAGCCTGAGCAAGGTTTTTGAAAAAAATTTTACTAGATAAAATGAAGAATTATCTCAAACCTACTACCTCCTGAGCAATTCGGATTCAGAGCCTATCTATCACATACTAGATAGCTTGTTTGACTCACCGAATTTATCGACTTGGCATTACACTGCAGACAGAATGCTGCTGTTCTCATGCTGGACGTGGCGAAAGCTTTCAACTATGTGTGCGAGAGGGCCTTATCACTAAATTGATTGATTTCAACTTCGAACGTGAACTACTGCAAATCATCTTCTCATTTGTTACAAGCAGGACTTTTGTACTATCTGTGAATGGTGCTCTTTCAATTTTTTTATCTATTCTATGCAGCAGATTTTCCATGAGCTCTCCAAAACAATAATTCTATTTTCGCATGCTACGCAGATGATACTGCCCTGGCAGTGAAGTCTGCAAATGTTAATCATGCTGTCAAAAAGCTACATCATGTCCCTCATATTGAGGATTGGTGTAAAACATGGAAAGGGCAAATTAATGCATCTAAATCCCAACTCCTTATCATCCGAAGAAAGAAAAAGAATGCCAAACTCAAGAAACAACTACTGCTTTTCAACAAACCCATCCTTATAGTGGCTCAAGCGAAGTACTTAGGCATAACTCTGGATAATAAACTGACGTGGAGAAATCATATAAATCACGTGAGGCAGAAAGCGCTTTATGTCATGAAAAGCCTCTACCCCATGTTAGGTTGTTTTTCCAAACTTAAATTATCAAAAAAGAGATTGATCTACCTTTCCATCTTAAGACCAATAATGACATATGCTTCTCCAGCCTGGGCCACTGTGTCAAAGACTGAAATAAACTGCAAGTCATACAAAATCATTTCCTGAGACTAATAACTAATGCACATTTCTTTGTACAAAACGAGATTTTACACAAGGACTTAAGAATTGAGACTTTGGACAATTTCCTTCCTAAAACTAGCAAGAATTTCTTCAGGAAAGCTAAAGACTGTGAGCATTTGGACAAATTTAATTTGTTTCAATACGAAATACTGGATGAGGATAGACATCTTCGTTCCTTTGCTGCCTTCATATTAAACAGCAACCAGAACTTTCCAACTTAATTGCTATTATTCCTTACTAAAGTTTGACTGCACAAACTCTAGCATAAAAATGAAGCAGCATTCATCAGAGCCAGCACTTGAGAGGGTGGCCTTCCACGTGACCTGTGCATTAAGATTCACTACTATTTCCCCAGCATATTATAGCTTTCCTGAAATGATGTACATATATATATATATTGAATATTTAATCAAGAGTACTGATTTGTATTTAATTATTTTATCTTATATTTCCTTCTGTATTTTGTACAATAATTTCAATACAATCAACTGCACCAATCAGATATCATCTTGTTGCTCACATGACTTGGTCACACCCCCTTCTCCACTTCAGCTATCCTGCACCGCCCAGCTCAAGCATTACAACACCTCCATTGTTCCTCTGTGTGGAGTCTCAGGCCAGAAGACCAAATCGTCAGGATACGTTAAACTTTTAATACTGTTTTTTCTTTTCTTTTTCAATTTCAGAAGACTATTTATGTAGTTAAACAGAGAGGTATTCAAAAGTTGGCAAATCAATTTCAGACAGTGTCGATGATTCCACAGCAGCAGCATGCAGGCTTTACCCTGCAGCAAAACTATTGTTTTTTGAATAAAACCAAATTTCTTTACCTTATGACTTATAAGTGATTTTCAAGATATTTATATAATGCCATTATCTGCCCATAAGTGTGCTGACATCTGTAATAACCTAATAACCTGACAGAATATGCTTTATGGATGACTCATTGTGTTACCATCTTGATATGTTTTTGTCATTGAAATGCTAAAGATGTAACTATTACATCATTATATCTATAAAATATCTATAAACATAACATTTGAAGTGTTTTATTACAACACTCGTAAATTTAAACACAAAATGCAAGCATGTCTTTACCATATACTGCAAAGATAGTTTCCTCACATGCCACAAAATGTATATTAAATATTTCCAGTTTCTGTGAGCAAATACTGATGGCCATGGCTGTCCAGTTATAGGTTCAAACATGTTGATGCATTTATTACCTTCTTAAAACCCATTTTGGGTATTAAGAAGTATACTTTCACCCAGTCAGTCAGAATGAACGAGTCAGAAATGGTACCTAGTCAGTACATTTCAGTAAGCCCTTGTAAAAATTTCAAAATATGAGAATTCTACGGAATGTTAAGGATTCATTAAATCTTATTAAAAAGCACTTATGTCATTGCAATCATCCTTCCGAAATTAACTTGCAAAAATTATTTTTCATTATTGGAACTGAATCTAACTAAGAAATCCTAGGGTTTTAGGCATTCTTACAGGGCCACTCTGCTGTGTCAAGTTTTCTTGTGTTATTGTTGAAAAATAGAATTATGAGGAATATGGGTGATTTGACGGCTCCTTAAGGCTTAGAATACTAGGCTTAGGTCATGTGTAATAAGCCTATATTGGAGCTGGCTGTCATGTTATATGAGCATAATTGTATAATAATGTAGTGTTCAAAATAAATACTTCCTTATTCATATGTGCTTTGTTTATGAAGCTCATATAGCATGCATGCTAGAAACATGCTTTTGGTATTTAAAAAGTTGGCCTCTTTGAAATTCAATGAAGCTTCAAAAAGTTTTGACTAGGTGAATAAAAATCATTAAAAAAATTATGAGTCATTCACTAAGTGCTGTTTTGGAGAAATGAAGTGCATTTGAATAACAAAGAAGTAATGCATTTGAAATTCAAGAGTAAAACTATTGCAAAATTGCTAGTCATCAAAAGCATTTAGTGTGATACTGTCTGTGACTAGTTTGAAAGTGCACTCAAATGCAAATATCACTGTTCAGATATTTGAACGTATGAGAATTTTAGTTTGATGAGCTACCGCTCAGTGATTTTTATTTAGTTTTATCCATTCAGTGATTTAACAAATTAAATTGCTTTATAATTTAGTAAATTAATTTAATACAACTAAATCAGAATGTAAAATTTCAATTAAATAAATTTTATTTGGAAATTTCAGAGATAATTATTATGGAAATTGCAGCATTCTAAAACTATTTTACTTTTTTTTACATTATGTAAAAAGTATATTTGCATAGCTTCAGGCAAAAGTATATGTCCTTGTTTGATATGACCTTTGTGTATTTAAAATTTTTTACATGTCTTTTTAAGGAATGATACAGTAGTACTATCAGTCATTTAAAGTTAATAAAATTGATTATAATGATTTTGTTTTTGTTCTGTTGTCTTTTGGTAATGTTTCCACCAAAATTTAAGTGAATAAATTTAATTGCAGTTAGAACGCTTCATGTTTTATAAATAATTGATAATACAAATTGTTAAGTTTGATTAGGCAGTGAATTACTCAGATGCCTTATAGCATATAATTTACACTCACCACAGTGACCAAAGTTTGTGGAACACTGGGTACTGATAGCTACTGAGCTAAGGTTTAGTTCCTAATGACAGTAGATGGCTGCTTGAAATTTTTGAAGTTTCCCGCTGAAGTTTTATAAAACATAAGTCATTTCCTTACCCATTTTTCCGGAAAGGCATTTGCGGTATTAAATAGCTACTGCATGTTAGCTGTGTTACCAGCTAGGCCATCTGACTGCAGATTTTTTTAGCCTGTTAGAAATAGATCAAAAGAAAACATTTTTTATGACACCAGTAATAATAATTATCTTCCTAAGATATTGGAAAAAGTAGGTGCTTATTTTAAGTGGCAGTGAAGATTTTGTTTTTATTGCCATTCAGAATCCACATTTTAAATTATAGTTTTTCTGTGCTAATAAAATTTTACTTTTATAATCACAGTAGTGCATTCTGTTTTAAGGTTAATTGTAATATTAAAAATTTCAGCATCACATAAATGTCATTTTATGTAATTGAAACAACAAAGTGTGTATGTGTTTCTTGCCAAAGTATTAACAGATATAGTTGTTTAAAAGCATTTAATATTGAAATTTTATGCAGTTTTTATGCAAATTAAAAAAAGCTATTAATGTTATCCCCCCCCCCCAAATTTTTCTTTTATAAATTTTGTTAACACTTGCTTGCCTAAAAACATTAGTCCTTCATTCTGAGATTTGCGGATTACCAGAATTTTACTGTATGTAATTAGATAATTATAATAGAACTGTATTTTCATGGCAACATTAGTTTAATATAAATTTCTTGTTTTTGAAAAAGGTGATTTTTAATGTTGTCTGTTTGTGAAATAACTGAAACTGAGTATTTTGTTGTATTCAAACATACAAACATTGGTATTTATTGTTCGTCGATAGAAGGGAAAAAAATAACTATAATTAGATGAATGGGAATTTTATATATCTATTATTTTGCTAATATTTTTATGTAGTGTAATTCATGCAAGAATTATCATGCCTTGTGTTGTATATGCTTTTTTTATGTTAATCTTTTGCTAAAAAACAAGTTTTTAAAAAGTATTTCTTTTCCTTTCAGCACCAAGTGGTGATGAGCCTATTCTGAGGCAGGACTTTGCTAAAGAATTAGGATGTGCAATAACAAATATGTGTAATTCTTTTGACTCTGACTTCTTTACTCCTGAAGAAGCACTCAGAGTTGGATTAGGACCCATTGACTTTGATGGCTTGCAGATATTAACAGATCCTGACATACATGTGGTCAGCGATCCTTCTGCAGAGGACACATTTCACCTTGAAGGATCATAGTCATATGAGCTTTAAAGAAATATCCATTGATGAGGATACTTTTATTTTAGGAAAAGTGATGAGCTGTATTTACTTCTTTCACATTTTCCATTCATTGCTCCTATTATGTACTTGTATATTGACATGATAATCTTTGGACATGTTTTCATCTCCATTGCAAAAGAAAAAGCATTTGTACTCTAGCAAAACAAAGTGACCTAACCTCCTTCTTACTGTGGTCTGTATAAAATTTATACCACTCTTAGAGTATGACACTGTTGTAAATTGGAATTTATGATAACTGAAGTCAACTGCCAAGTTATGGCACATGTACATATCTGTACAGTTGTAGATCATTTGATCGCTCATAGATTAATGACAATGTTTGGAATGAGAGCTGCAGTTTGCTCCAGTATTACTGTGTAATTATATAAAACCATGAAATGGCCTCGATGCATTGTATATTGACTCCACTTGTACAGATTCATGCCTGTTCAGGTAAAATACAAACTTCATATTGTAATTAAGCATGTCATTTCTGTAGTTTTGTCCAATGTTTGAATTCTGTTTTTAAAGTATAAACATTTCTATTTGCTCATTTAATTTCCGTGTTCTAGCATGGTTTTGTGATACCAGACCAGTAATTTTATGTATGAATCAAAATTTACTTTATTGATTGAAATCATGTTGCTTTTTGATTAAAAGTAATTGTGCATTTAATATTTCAGCTATGGTTGTATTTCAGGGTTAGAAATTTTTGAGCAGGTCTCATGATATGAAATAAATTCATGGTAGCATTTTTTAATTTCTTCTCTGTGAGAATGAGCAATGGAAAGAAAATTTCAAAGGTTATGAGCTCTTCTTGATGTTTTATAAAAATTATATATATTATATTCAGTTATTGCAGACTGATAAATACTGCTGTTAAAGAAGATTTCCATAGATGCTAAGTAAATAATTTGTGCACATATATACAGCAGATCAGAAATACGCACAGCCTGGAACCACAGTCTTTGTGGATTTTGCCTCTGCAGATTTGGGATTATGAAGAAAAAATATATACACAGTCAAAAGTCGTTTAGCCGGAATGATCTATAATCTGGACCTCAAAGCTACAAACTTTCTGCGCATGCGTGCAATACCTTTACGCATGCCCATATGCATATACGCATGCGCATAATGCGTTTACACATGTGTGTTTAATGTATAACGGACAGTATAAGCTAAGCTAAAATTATCTAATTATCTATTTCAGTTAATGTTGCAGATTGCATTGTTAATTAATCTTCGAATTGAATCCGGCTTATTATATTTTGCAGACTGTTAGAGCAATTTTATAAAAGCTTGAACTTTCGATTATGTCAAATAGAATTTCCGATGCTGGATACTGCCAAAGGATCTACAAAGTGAAAGCATGTTTTGATGTCCATCAAACTAAAAGTGAAATTGCTGCAAAAAATGGATAAAGGCGTATCCTTTGTTTCTCTAACCATTCCGAAATCTGTTTATCAATTTCACGCTGCTCTGCAGGGGAGGGGGAACGTCGCGGCGCGCAATGAGACTGGAAGTTGATCTGTTCAGCACTATTTTCATCTTCAGGGCGGATGTTTTTATTGTTATTCAGCTTATAGTTCTTCATTAACAATGTAGTATTTCATCTCGATGTACTCTGTCTTTAATATGATTTAAGTCAAATTCATTATAAATATCACAAATACACATCAAATAGTTTTCTGGTTGCAATTTTCTAATTTCAACTATGCGTAATGTATGCTTTATGCATGTGCGCATTGAAAGAAATGTTTCATAAAGTAAACAAATAAATATTAAGCTTTTTTTGTAAATTTTTATACCCTTTAGATCATAATTGTTCTTTATTTCATAAATTACGGTTTCATATTTTTTATTTTATAATTTCTGCATGCCACCTTATCAGATTTAAACTAATGATCTATAATCCGGAAAAATCGATAATCTGGAATCACCGAAGTCCCGACAAGTCCGCATTAAAGACTTTTGACTGTATTAGATTAAAACTAAATAATAGCACAACAAGTTAAATCTGAGTAAAGAAAACAGGTAAAATCAATTAAATTATTTTTGGCATTTTATGGAAAAATTTAAAAGCATATTTAAAAAAATATTTTTTACATTTTTCAAGCATCTGATTTGTAGTTACTTATTTTAAAATTTTAGAATACTCTAGTTTGAGGTCCCTGTCCCCAACTTTTTAAATAACATGAGGTTATTACTTGCTTAATATTTAATTATATATTTCATTATTCTGAATATTTCCGATATTTTTCTCATAAAGCTGCAACTTTATGTCACATGAGATGGTATCTTTTTTTTTAAATTTATTTTTAATTACATCATTATCATGATCAGGATCTTTTTGTTCTGAACTAAAATATTGTCATTGTCACTTTGTCATAATCAATTTTTGATGATAGTATTTGATTTCAGCCAGTTCGCAGTACTGTTTTCTTGAGGCAATTTTTCATTTTCCATCTTTTCTTTTTCATAAAGAAGCACTTCTTTACCTATAGCCATTATTCGATCCAAAAATTGGTCACTGTCATACTTTATTTCAATGAAAAATGACTTTAGCAGTATGTTGCACGATATGTTCAGCAAGATAAGCTTGGAAACAGAATTATTTAATCAAAGTTTTGAAGTTTTAGAATCTTATTAGCTTTGAATTTCAGTGTTTCAATCTGACCAAGTTATGCAGATTTTATGACAATGGTTTTTCGGCTTCATACCCTTTTTATGTAAAATGCAAAGTTATGTATTGTTGACAGTAATTATGTACAGGCATTAGCTAGATGTAATGGCTCACCTTTAATCACACGTACCAATACATGATAATTTGCTGAAAAAACTTATAATGTGAAATTCCTTTAGATTAAATTTAATGTAATTCATATGAAATTATATCTTTTATTAATTCATATAATTTTGTGAAATTAACAAGGTTTGTTTACTAAATCTTGATGGTAGGAATTTCTGTTTATGGGAAAAATCATTCTTATAAGTAGTATTAAAATTGTGTAATAATACCACTGTTATCCCTTGTCAGTTATTAACCAGGTATATCTAAAAAAATTTAAGCTTTTGCAGTTATAAGGTATTGATATTATCAGAGTTATGTTACATGCTAGATATAACACATGAATTTTCCGTGGTAAGTATTATGATTTTGCTTGATGCATTAATCTGAAATTTTGCAGTATACTTCAACTCTAGAAGTATCATCTGGCAGTATGCCCTTTAAATGTATTAATGGCAAAATCTGTGTTCATTTTGGTGTATGTTTTACTTACAGTAACTATGAATCTTAAATTATAATGGCTTCTTTATTGTAGAATTCCTTATTCCTCCAAATGATGACATTTTCTGCTTAATAAAAACTGGTGTACATTAATTGCCAGCAGTTCAGAAGTGGGTTTCAGACAGTGAGTTTCAGAAGGGGCTAAATGACGATATTTTTAAGAATTTCAGTCAAATTAACTGCCTTTATATGTCCATAAGATCTTTTTTGTCACTTGGTGTATATTAGCTTATAATTTAAAATATTTTGCTTTCTTAGTTTCTTTAATGATGTAAATATCATCTTAATGAATGAAAGTTTATGAAAACAGAGACTAAAATAAGTAATTCTATAGATTAGGTTAGTAAATGCTGTTTTAACATAGGTCTTCAAGAGCAGTCTTCAAATGCTGTGCCATTCTGAGAGTTAGAAGACAGTAATTTTGTCTAGTAAAGTGTTATTGCATATTTAGTTCAGGTCTCTTGGTATTTGCATGTTTACTTATTTTTTTTTTTTTTATATATTTAAAAATTACTCGTGCTTATTGATTGTTGTTGTTGTGACTAATCTAGATTGTCTGGCATCAGACCCATGAAGATTAATGAACTTTGAAAAGATTAGAAATTCTAGATATGGATTATAATATTTTTAACTGAAATAATTAAAGAAATGGTTTTATTGGTATGAAAAAATATCACCCTTTTTTAATTTCAGTAAATTACTTTTTTAAATCTGATGGTGTTAATGTAGCATGTGAAAAATAAGGATGATTTTATGAAAGAAGTTCAAGCATTTCTTAAAACCATGAGTTTGTATTTAAATTTTGAAGATAAAAACCACGTGGAATATAAAATAGGCTAAATTTGAAATTTAGTTTTTACTAACTTTACATACATGTGATTCACAAAATTAAAACTATCACACTCCCATTTATTTCTATGTATTATTCTATATGCATTGTTGACAACAGAGTTAAAAATAAACTAAACATTTAAAAAAAAATTATTTTTTTCCCTTAATTTTTTCCTTATAATTAAAATTATAAAATAAATGGCATTTTTTCAATTACTGCTAACTGAATAATTAATTAAGAATTAAGTATAATGACAATAAAAAGTGTTTTATAGGCTTGCTTTTTTATGCACTTAATATTTACTATTCTGGAGCTTGTAGCTAATATTTTGTAAATTAAAATGTATTGTGATTGAGACCTAAGTAATTATTTCTTAACCCTGAAATAGTTTTGTATTTTCAGATAATTGTCTGATTGCATTTGCATAAGATGAATTTTATATTTTAAATTTTTGCGTGTATATATTTAAAATATTTCCTGCTCTGAAAGTTTGGATATATTTTCAATTCATTGTTATTGAAAGATTCTTTATATTATGCTGCCTAAAACTGTTTTAATGTACTAAATGTAAAAGTTTGACTTGTAACTTATTTGTTACATCACTTCTTAAAACAATTTTATATGCAGTTCGACAACCACGTACTGTTCTTGTAAATTAAAGAGCCAGCACTGAAGTTGGTTTGCTACTGCTTTAAACATTTCTCTTTCTCATGCATGATTTAGAGAAATTGGGTATATATCTTAAAATTTCTAAAAGTGATAAAAAAAATTACTTGTGTTTGATGGAAAGTTTCTCCTTGTTTTTCAGTGTTAAGTTTATAAAGACTAAAATGAAATTTGATATTTTTGAATAACTTCAAAATATTTTGAATTTTGTCTTGATTAAAGCTGCTTACCAAATCCCCCCTTTTTTTTATTTACCTGTTTAAATGTGCCAAATCTATTTTTATGTGCACTGCGTTTATTTTCCTTTAAAAGTTTTCATGCTGTATATTTACATATTGTAGTAATTATGGTTTTAATTTTACAATTTTTTGGAAGAGTAACCTGGATTGTAACTGCTTGAATTTAGTAGTTTTCAACAAGCAAAGCTTTCCAAATTTCATGTTTGTTTTCTTTTTCAGTACTTTAACATTGTATACTGTGTATGAATTAAACAGTTTTAAAAATCATCTATTAATTCGTTCTTATTGGAAAAGGCTTGTATTGGTTGGTGCTACATTTTGCATTTAAGCTAGGTTGTGTGTTTCACATTTTTAAAAGCTTATAAAAGATCTTATTTATTTAATCTTAAATTATGGCATATATTCTAATGTGGATCTCTCATTGTGCACTGGTGTATTTGAGACCTTACTTGAATATTTCTGACAATTCTCCTCCTTTATGCATACAAACATATTTTTCATAATAATTGTTAAATTTTTTTATCTAACAAATATCTAAATAAGACAGTCATGTATTTAAAAAAGAATACAGTTTTATGTTGGACTGGCATTTCTGGTATGTTAGTAGTAATATCACTTCTGCTGCTACATTGTAATTGAATTTTTGAATTTCTGGACCATTGAGGTGGAAGACTAATGTGTCCTCATCTAGCAGATACTGCCAATAACGTTAGTCCCATAAATGTATCCAAATTCAGTGAACATTTTTGTCATCCTGCCTGTGGCATTCAGATTTATTTATCCCATAAGCATATTGTACAAAAATAAAATGATGCTTTGCTACTTTTAGAGCAAGATTATGTGAATGATGCACTATTTATTTCTGAAGGGGGTTGTTTTTTGAATTTATATATTAATACATTTAGGAAAGATGACTACATTCTTTAAGTGTTGATCTTTTATATGTACTTTTAAATATAAAGTTTCTCAAAATAATATAGAGAATTTTATAAGAACAGTTTCATCACTAGGATTCTAGAAATACTAAATCTAATATTTTATGAAATCATTTTAAAATAAAAACTCCAGTTAGTAAAAAT